ACCAAAAGGCAACTTTAAAATACAGAACTGGATTCTGATTTAATTTAAATGCTTTAAAATCTTTAATTCCTGCAAAAAAATGGATTTTGTTGGGGTTCATATTGGAGGGAGCGAAGTCAAAATCTGATCCAAATTATCAGTGAGAGTTCCGGTTTCATTTACATGATTCCCATTATCTGGTTTTCTTCCTCTTAATACATTTGCAAAGTTAAGCATTTAAGATAAAATACAAAATGAACTAATTCTTACAGTACACATTTTGCCTCAAATACTTATGAAAATATGCAAATAAAAATATACAAACAGAATTGTCAAAGACCATATATGACAATGTGATGTGAAAAGTTAGTTGTTCTATAATGGACCCAATGTAAAAAAAAAATTAACATGCTGATTTTCAAAGTACATTCTGCAAAAAACAAAAAAACCCCACCCCAAAATCCTCTCCCCAAAAAACCTGAAACCCCACTCCCTAAGTAAATAGGTTGTATTTTTGTTGGTTTTAAATTAACAACAAATAACCTACAAATTCCTTCAATGTCTAAGAAACATTTATGCAAATTCCAACCTCTTTTCAGTGGATGGCCATCCTACCTGCTAGTTAGTTCAGTTGGTAAATATAATAGAATTTATAGAATATCAAAGTAAATGACTGTATAAACCTAGACAACGATTAAAGTGGCAGTGAGTTGCTACCAAACTACCATGTTTTAACACGAGAGGCAAGAACACATAGGCCAAGTAAAGACATTACACTTTTACTGGTATAAGTAAGTGGAAACCAGTCTTTACCTCTAACTGAAGAAAAGTTCAACACACACAGATTGTTTTAAAAATGGTAGTACCCGGCCTAAGATTTGCTCCCTCCACCAAAGGGGGAACATGTGTTCTGTTAGCTACCAATCTAAGCTACACCACTTACAGAAAACTATATAACTTAGATTGATTCTACCTTGTAGTTTTTGAATATCTGTACCTAGCCATAGGTTTTTCTCTAACGAGGAGTTTCCTAAAGTCTATCCTCCTTCCCCTGGTTTTGGCTGCTTCAATTTGCTATTGAATTTGCTGGAATGCTGAAAGCTTTAGGCAATTACCCTTTGGGGTAGGAAACTAGGTATGTATTGCAAGCTTTCATTTTTTTTTTTTTTTACTTCAGCAACACAGGGAATAGTTTTCAAGGGGCATCCAAAGTGTAACTGTTGGAGTAGCATAGGAGCGTGGCACAATTAGCAGGGTAGTGGTCCATATTTCTAGCAATTTACACACATTGAGGAACCATTTTGCTATTAGCTAATGTCACAGATAGCCTTGGGAAAGTGCTTGCTTGGGACTTCTATAACCCCTGAAATCCAGCCCAGGAGTACCTTCTAGAGAAGCTGTGAGATGGGGAGACCCCTGACTCCTTTCAACTCTGAGACCGCAGCCTTTTGGTCCATGACCTTTCCTGGCTATTTGTGGCGGTGCCTCAGGGAGTTGCTTCCAACTGAGACCTCCACCAAAGGAGGGATGCTTCAAAGGGGTAAGGAGTACACCCCCAAATTCCAAGCAGCAAAATAGATCCTCTTCAAAGAAAGGCATTTAGTTGTGGGGGAGGTGGGGGAAGAGGAAGGGGAAGGGAAAGGCCACAGAGCAAGAAGACCCTGCTCCCTCCAAAGGGTTCAGTAGTCCTGAGCACGCCAAGATAAGATCAGCTGTTCTCTCTTCAATCAGCATGGTCCAAGCATCCCAAAGTAGCCTGAATGCTCTCTTGCTTCAGATTGCCATGCTCTAGGGGAATGCTTGTGGTGCTGATATTCCTCACTTTTCTGGATACCTCCTGGATGTCATCTCCAAGCCCACCCTGTTCTCTTAAATTCTTTGATGGCTGGCTTTTCTGGTAACTCAGGATTCACTGTCTGTTTCCCTCCTCCCATATAAGTATGCTAGAAAACTAAGACATGCAACATTATTTCAGCACAAACAGTTTTAAGCCAGAAACATTACAATGAAGTCATAGTCTGTCATACCTAACCTTGATATGGGGAATTTGATTGCAGGGCCATATCCACAATTGTGATGGTGGTACATCTAGAATGCCATCTCTAGGATTAGTTTTGTGACTAATACTTGATGCCTGGAATAATCTGGGTCCTGCTTGGTGGCTTGGAGTGTGATCAGACCCATTCTAATTGTAAATAGCAGTTTAAAGGTTCATAAAAGTGCAACTTTATCTTAACAGCATACCTAATTCCATAAATGTCAAGGACAAGACCATTAAGCAAATATTAGTCTTTACAGCTACAGTTAACTAGCAAAGGATCCCATCTTCGCAAAGTTTGGTTACCTACCAGAACTTATTCATTTCTGGAACTGTTCAGAGTAGGGGTTTTGGCTCACTTTCACTTGGACCAGTGTTTATATTAATTTTTTAGCCAAAGTTTTATAAATATGTTGTATTTCAAAATATGGGTACAGTTTTTTTTTTAATTAAAGACTTACAATAGAAGATGTCTTTTTAATTACTGATTTTATTTTAGCATTGTTGGCTTATTAAGAATAAGTGCCTGCAGGTAGTATAATATGAGAACAAATACATGTAACATTATGGTAAATAATTCACAAATTAGAATAACTGGTGTCATCTGTAGTCTGTGAGATTTCATTTGGAGTCAAGGTGACTTTTTGCAACTGGTCATCAAAACTGAAGGAGAAGCTAAAGACACTGATGTTTTTGCATAATATTTTCAACAAGCTTTTCAATATTTTTCTGACCAATGTGTCCAATAGGCCATCAGTAATTTCTGATATTTTAATCATAGATTTGTTTATAGTAAATATAAACAGTTTTGGCAGCAAGCTACTTTTCTAAGTTTACACTTTAATGTAGTACAGATGTACTTTGTAAACAGTGTCTGTTTTAAGAGACTAATTATGGACCTTATAATTCAGATAGCACTTACTGTTGAATGGAAGTGACATTCAATATCAAAACAAATAAAAGTTTCTCTTGAACAGATGCTGTCCAGTAACTGAAGCTGCCAGTATACATATTAGTAACTGGCATTTAATTGTATTCAGACAATATAGCAACTACATAATAAAATCCAATAGCTCTGGTTGGTACATTTAATCAAGGAAACAGAGCTTAGCTTCTAAAGTTGTTGTTGTACTCTGCATTCCAGTACAGCACATGTCCAACACACCCCATTTCTGCTAGTTTACTGATATCAATACAATTTGTATGACACAGGGCACACCTTCATGGGACACTGACTACGCAGCAAACAAATAATATACTGCGAAGTAGCGCGCCACAGCACTGACAGTGCTAATACATTACTGCACAATATTATTAGGCTAGCACACAGTAGCATCACTTAAACATTTGTTGGCACTATTGTACAGTAACTCTGGTTACTGTGCCCTAGCATCTCATGTAGATGATGGAATATGCTATCCTGTGGTTTCTGATTGCACACATCAATGTTGTAATTAGAGGAGAATTACTATAATATAAACTTAAAAGTAACCAAATGCATATGTTTAAGTCATATATTGACAAAAAGAGGTTATTCAGGGAATATATTACATAATAACTTAGCTCCTGATCACTTAGTTAACAGATCAGAAATTTTACTTACGATTGTACCACAATAACTTCTGAAATCCCAAACTATTACCTCATATTAGAAGGTAACTAATAGAAGAACTATTACCTCATAT